AGGAGGGATTATTCCTTGGAGAGGGACATCATGCTTGGAAGGGTAGAGGGACAGAGAAAGACAGGGAGACCAATGATGAAATGGACTGATGCAGTGACTGGGGTAATGAGGGTAGGTATGTCGGAGACAATAAAGTTGGCAAAAGATAGTACAGGTTTCAGAGCTGTTGTACACAGGGTCACTATGAGTCATAAGCGACTCGACAGCACATAACAACAACATCAGAATTCTCCAGCACAATGATGGGTATCAAAAGTTCTGGAACCAGCCATCACATTCTTTTCCCAAACTTAAATCATCATCAAGTCCTTTTGACTTTACCTACCTAGCTCTTTACACAGCCTCTCCATTCCATCACTACCACTAAAGCCTAAGCTCCCTTTCTTCCTGGAGCCTTTTAATCAAATAATTCAACTAGTCTTTCTGCAAAAAAGTATGTCCTCACATTATTACCTCTTTCCCTAAAAGACCAGTAGCCATGGAATTAATATTGATTTATGGCATTCCTATCTATTTCAGCAGAACTGAGTTTCCAAGGTTTTCAAGGACTAACTTTAGGGTAGCAGACACCGTAAAGTTAAAGGCACTTCTGGGTGGTCTTAACCCACCAACTTTCTAGCAGTCAACAGTGTTAACCACCTAGGGCCTCTTCTCTTTCCCAGTAACTATTTATTCTTCCTTTTAGCTCATTTCCTTGGAGAAGCTTTCCTTTATCAGATACATACTGCTTATTAGACAATCCTGTCTGAGCACATCCCAATGCTCCAGGAAGACAGGAAACAGGTATTTTTATTTTCAACAGCATATACTCTGTGCACAGCAATAAGCCTGGCCTACAACTGGCATTTAAAATATATTTGCTGAAAGGCTACCAGGCATGAGAAAGGAGAGAGAGGGGAGTAAAAAAATTAATAAATAGCTCAGTTGGGTGGAGAGAATGCAATATACAGTAAGGAGATGATCAGATAATGTAATTAATCATATTAATTGTAATTAATAGTATCAAATAAATGTGTACTAGTGATGGAATGGAAAAATATGCAAACTTTCAATCAAATAAAAAAACGAAATTAAAAACAAAATCTTTTAGTATGAAAAATATGAATGTATTTGTTGAATGATCTAGTATAGAAAGATCACACAACTTTTGAGGAGTGATATTTATAAATTGCCTTATCTCATTTTATTTTCAGGAAGATCTGATGGTTGAGTAGTAAAGAGTTGCACTGCCAACTCAAGGGCACACGGTTCAAATCTACTAACTGTTCCTCTGGAGAAAAATGGGTACTCTCCCATGTGATTTAATGCTTCTGAAAACCCACTGAAGAAGCAGCTATGAATTGGTTCTGACTTGACAGTACTTAATAACTGTACTCATATTAATCAATGTCTTAACTTCGAATTTCGTTTCAGAGGTCAAATTATGCCTGAAAAAGGAATGAGAAAAAATTTGGGGTCCCAAGAATTCACATAACAGAAGTAGAGGACAAAAATTCTGGAACCAGTTTTAGATATGAGTCCCAGTGCTAGGCTCACTTAGGAGAATAACCTTGGGCAAGTCACTGCAAGGCAGAGCTCAGTTTTCTCAACTATAAAATAGAAAAAAGACTTGAATATCTAATACATGGTTGTATGAAGTTAATGACTTTATAAAATACAGAATATACTGCCTGGAATTTTTGCTCAGATCATACTTTTTTTACTATTGCTATTATCAACTTATTAATATTATAACCACAAAGTTAAAAATAACATGAGAGATTGCATAGATGGATCCCTTCTCTAGGTCCCTCCAGCTCTAACAATCGGGATTCCACTATGGTGTTAAAGGTCAACAACTTTTTTAAAAAAAATATTTCAATCTTATTTAAAGTATGAAAGATCTAACAAGCTACATTCATATAATACCACTCATGGCAAAGTTCTGCCCAAGAGTCCAGTAAAACATTATTTTTTTATTTACTGTCTCATCACTTACTGTCTGTATGCTACTTCTTTTGAGGGGGTCTATATGAGTGGATAACACAGAGAAAATTTTGGAAGAGGCTCTTAATCTTAACATCTCTAAGTTTGGAGACTCAAAAAAAATCTTTGCATGTGAATACCTGATTTGATCTCTGGTCCAAGTATTCAGTTCTGAAGGAGTTTTGTCATCTATTACCTGAACAAGTATGGATACCTGGGATCTAGCAGGCCTTGCTCCACTCCCCAAGCCATCTCTCTCACAGCATTGCTGATCTCATGACGGGATGTATATGCAAAGCAGACATTCAGGAAACACCTGAGAAAGGAAGAACAAAGTAATTCATCAGATAGTCTGCAAAGCTGGGTAACCCTTCCCTGCAAGACACACAACAAATGTAAACTGCAGATATCTCTGAATTGTGAGATTTTTGTGCCTTCTAAATTTTCTTGAAATAAATATGCTGCAAATTTTATAACAGTGTAAGTTACATCTCTGAAGATTGCACTGGAGCATAGAGAAGCCAAAGCACAAGGAAGAATTCAAAACACTACAGAGCTGAACAGAAGATTCCAAAAGGCAGCATGGAATGACAAAGCGAAATATTACAATGAAATGTATGAGGAGCTAGAGTTGGAAAATCAAAAGGGCAGAACTCGTTCAGCATTTCTTAAGCTTAAGGAACTGAAGAACAAATTCAAACCTCGAGTTGCTATAATCAAGGATGCTTTAGGCAGAATGTTAAATGATTCAGGAAGTATTAAAAGAAGATGGAAGGAATATACTGAGTCACTGTATCGAAAGGAATTGGCAGATACAGAAGAATTTAATGAAATAGCATATTAGCAAGAGCCTATGGAGATGAAGGAAGAAGTTCAAGCTGCTTTGAAGGAAATAGCAAAAAATAAGGCCCCAGGAATAGATGGTATACCAATTGACATATTTCAGCTAACAGATGCTGCCCTGGATGTGCTCACCAAGTTGTGCCAAGAAATCTGGAGAACAACCACTTGGCCAACTGACTGGAAGAGATCTATATTTGTTCCGATCCCAAAGTAGGGTGACCCAACAGAGTGTGGAAACTACAGAACAATTATCATTGATTTCACATGCAGGCATGATTCTACTGAAGATTATCCAAAAATAACTGGAACAGCACATCAGCAGAGAACTGCCAGAAGTCCAGGCTGGGTTTAGAAGGGGTCATGGTACTAGGGATATTGTAGCTGATGTCAGATGGATCTTAGCTGAAAGCAGAGAATACCAGAAGAATGTCTATCTGTGCTTCATTGATTATGCAAAGGCATTTGACTATGTGGATCATAACAAACTGTGGCTGACTCTGAGAAGAATGGGAATCCCAGAACATTTAATCGTGCTAATGAGAAACCTATACTTGGACCAAGAGGCAGTCGTCAGAACAGAGCAGGGCAACACTGTATGGTTCAAAATTGGGAAGGGTGTACGCCAGGGATGTGTCCTATCTCCATACCTCTTCAACCTGTATGCAGAACAGATTATCGGAGAGGCTGAGCTCTATGAGGAGAGCATGGCGTTAGGATTGGTGGAAGATCTATCAACAATCTGCGTTATGCAGATGACACAACCCTGTTTGCTGAAACTGAGGAGGACCTCATGAATTTACTGCAGAGGGTCAAGGACTGCAGCCTTCAGTATGGACTGAGGCTCAATGTCAAGAAGACAAAGATTCTCACCACTGGACCAATTGGTAGCATCAGGATGGATGGCGAAGAGATCGAGATTGTTCACAGCTTCAGTTTGCTCGGCTCCACGGTCAACACTCTTGGCACCAGCAGCCAGGAAATCAAAAAACGTATTGCGATGGAAAAGTCTGCTATTAGGGACCTCTCTAAAGTACTCAAGAGCAACAGTGTCTCTCTGGAGACTAAGGTCTGCCTGATACAGGCCATGGTTTTTGCAATCATTTGTTATGCATAAGAGAGTTGGACAAGCTGTGGTGCTGGAGAAGAGTATTGAATGTACCATGGACTGCCAAGAAAACAAACAGATTCATCCTAGAGAGAGTAAAACCAGGCTACTCCTTGGAGGCAAGGATTCTGGGGCTTCGTCTGACATACTCTGGACATGTTGTAAGGAGAGACAGGTCCTTAGAGAGGGACATCATGCTGGGTAGAGTAGAGGGACAGCGCAGGAGGGGAAGACCCTCTATGAGGTGGATTGATTCAGTGACTGGGGTAATCGGGATGGCTGTGTCAGAGGCAATGAGATTGGCACAGGATAGAGCAGGGTTTAGGGCTGTTGTACATAGGGTTGCTATGAGTCGCAAGAGACTCGACAGCACATAACAACAAGTTACATCTATTGTCCTCTTATCTCCTTTTCTACTGCAAAGCAGCTTTCAATAGATGTGAATCTAATGTGATAGTAACACAAACAAAATAAAATTTGATACAAAACAAATCCATTGCCAAACATATAAATAAAGCTCAATTTTATGTATAAGGAAGTTTAGATTATTAAGTTGTTTCCCTCTGCATCTGTATGACTTTCCAAAGTCACCCTACCCATGAATCCCAGAGAAACAGAAATGAAGTATGCTACAAAAACACTCTATCCAGAAGAAGGGAAGAAATTATGCAATAATGAATGAATATTTTTTCCTTTTCTAAAACATGAATGGGGTGAGGTAGGGAGGAAAATATGCAACAATCAAGGAATGAAAATCCAACTTTTCTTAAAATCACAATAAAAAATAAATTTAAACAACCAAAAAAAGAAACCATAGTCTATCCCCTTACAAGTAAAAAGTGTATATGTGTTTTAGGAGGCCACAGGAAGGGGGAAGTGGATGAGAAACTGTGTGCACGTATGAGAGTACAAACATGCAGAGATGCAGAACTATCTCTGATCTGTCCTGCAGATGGAGAAAAGGAGTCTCTAAAAATTTCAAACTATCCTCTCAACTCCTCAAGCACCAGATACACACCACGACAGGCCGAGGTTGTCCCCAAAACTACTAAGGAGTCAATGAGAGAAGGGAAATAAGAGAACTTACCTGTTGTAGTTTTTAGTTGTTTGTACAGCTTGTGCGATCAGTTCCTGGAGATCCAAGGGCAATAAATGCAGATCACCAAGAACCCGGATACACACCCCGTACTTCTGCAGTTTCTCTCTGATGGGGGAGGAAAGGAGGAAGGGTTAGACAGAGCACCTGCTCAAGGGGAAGACACCATGCATTTTGATATTGATCAACTGAAAGAGTGCTTTTCTATATATTAAGCAATGCTCTCTAAATATTATTTCATCTCATCTTTTCAACAACTGTCAAAGGAGTATATGGCATTCTACTTGAAAGCAGAAAAGTGAGGCTCAGATAGAAGCAACCTGCCCAAAGTCATATGGGTAGCTAATGCTGTGTCAGGACTAAAACCCACGTCTCTCTAATTTGGGAACCCAAAATTTTTACCATACATGACATGACCCCATGTGCCCATTCTGGCAAGTTGCATTTTATGGATTCTGTGTTATGTTTGTCTCACCTTGACAATCAAGTAAATTCCTTAAGGGCAGAAGCTATATTACTGGTTATGTTTACATCTTCTAGTGAAATATAGTAATAGTGATAATGAACATGAATTAAGCTTATTTAGTGCCAGTCACTGATCTAAGTAAGGGCTTTACATGTAAAACACACTGCATCCTTATACCAAGTTATCCATACACCATTATTCCCATTTTAAAAATTAGGAAACTGAGGCAGGGAGGTAAGGTAGTTTGCTCAAAATCAGATACATAGTTGAGTGCACTTGATATGTGAACAGAGACATGGCTTGAGAACCAATTCATGTAATCTAGTATTACAGTGCTTTCAGAGTAATTCTCAAACTCTGCTCACAATGAGAACAAGTTTACTAGTATCCAACCAACCTCCCACACCTGGAAATGCCATGGAGAAACTGAGCAACAAATGTTTGGAGCTAAAAGAAAGCTTAATAACAAGAAATATATTGTGAGGTAAAGGTATCTGCTAGGTTCTGGGGAACCCTGACCAAGTATCCTCTCTACAACCCTTAACAGTTTTTTAAGGATGACAAAAGATTTAAACACCTATTGCAGACAACTGAAACTACAGTACACAGGTATACAATCAAATCAAGGCAAAATTTTATTAAAATACATAGATCCAAGATCTAGTGTCATGACTTACTAGCCGCATAACCCTACTTAAAACTTTCTGAAGGGGAGCTCTGGTGGCCTAGTGGCAAGAAGCTGTACTGCAAACCCAAAGGTACACGGTTCGAATCCACCAGATGCTCTGCCGGAGAAGGAGGGACAATTTCCTCCTGTACCAGTCAGATCTGATTTGATGGTACATGCACAAAAAATAATAAAATAAATTTAAAAAAAAAACAACTTTTTGAGTGTCAGTTCCTTTCCTATAAGCTAAGGGCAATAACCATTCCAGTCACGCTATCTTCATAGGCTTGTGTTAGTTATAACACAGTTTTATTCTTAGACACCAGGACAACTGAGATCTGTGGAAGAGAAAAAGGAAATCTGACCTCGCAACCCAGCTCTGCCACTAGTTTGCTATGTGATTACACACCAGCTCTTTCTCTTAAACCTTCTCTTCACCTGAGTTTAGTTTCCCACCTGATATGACTAACTAGACTAGTGGTTTTCAAGTGAATATTTGGCCTAAAGAACTCTTTCTTCAAATAATCTTAGGCAAAATACCGGTATGTAAAATAGATCAATGAAAAGCAGCACCCAATACTCCCAGTCCCTCTTTTCTTTTCACTCCTATCCCTTAGAACTCTGAGGTTCCGGGACACACTGGAAAAAACCACCTGCAGCGTTCTTTCAGGACTTCAAGATAGCATAAAACAATTTTCCCTTGTTGTTGTTGTTATGTGCCATTGATTTGCCTGCAAATCATAGCAACCCTGTGTACAATAGCTCCGAACCTTGCTCTATCCTGAGCCAACTTTACTGTCTCTGACACACCTACCCCTCCATTACCCCAGTCACTAAAATGATCCATCTCATCAAGGGTCTTCCTCTCCTGTGCTGTCCCTCCACCCTTCCAAGCATGATGTTCCTCTTGAAGGGCTGGTCCCTCCTTGCAACACGCCCAAAATATGTCAGATGGAGCTTCAGAATCCTTGCCTCCAAGGAGCAGGCTGGTTTCACCCACTGTAGGACGAACCTGTTGTCCTCCTAGCAGTCCATCTTAATGACACTTATTCAATCTTGCATTTTGACCTTTGAGAAACCATTAAATTGTTCTAGTCTTTGAGTACAGTGTAATAGGCAAGGACTTGGGTTCTAGAGTTAGACACTAGGACACTTGACTTAATTTCTCTGGTTTTACTTTCTGCCTACTAAAAGTGAGCTAATAATTTCCTTCTCATACTATGTTTGTTTTGTTGTTACTTGGATGGCTCTCATACTATAGCATGCAGAAAATACATTTTAGGTGCAGGGCCTGGCAAAAAAGTAAGCACTTTTAAAAAGATTAAGAAAGTATATGGATATAGACATTTCATGTACAAAGGAATTTGTTCCTCACACTGTCAGTGTGAAGTAATGACCCTTAAGTGGGGGCACTCTGAGCCACACGTGCTTTGCCAAAGACCAAAAGTAATTTCTATCACCTAGGGTCTCACCATCCTACTCTGAACAGAGAGAAGCCTAGTTACCTGTCCTCTCCACGCTAACGGGTCAACATAAAACAGAAATGACATCTAAAAAAAACAAACAAACAAACAAACAAAAACAGAAATGAATGACAGAATTGTTTCCTGAGAAGCCATTTCAGGTCTAGCCCCAACAGAGCTAGCTCTAAGTTCTTTGTACACTTGTCTTCCTAGTCTTGGTACAGGCAGCAGCTGAGCAAACTGCAATGAAGATTTTACGCAGCAGACTCCGGCTAGTGAGGGCTCTGTACTTTAAAGCAAACAATTTCCCTCAAAGTTCCTCTGGTTTTGCTTCCTAAGCTGGCCTAGACTTAGCTACAGATAAGAATGGTGCTGAACTGCCCCATAAGGGCTTCTTATGCAGAATATTATCTTTCCCAAAAAATATGCAGGGTACAGTAATTTTTTAGGGATGTTGACTGCCCAACAGAGATGATCTTTCCAAGTTTTCCCTCACTCTGCTCCCTAGGCCACAATTTCTAGTCTAAGAATACAAATGTGAGCTAGTGACTTTCTGCCTTCAAGTATATTTTCACTTATAGAAACCTTATAGAATAGTAGAACTGTCCCTTAGAGAGAATTTGCAAGGCAGTAAATCTTTACAGACTCATATTTCTCCTGTGGAGTAGCTGATAGATTTGAACTGCCAGCCTTTAGGTTAGCAGCCAATGCCATCAACACTCCTGAAATTTACAGTACAGGAGGCCATTTAAAGGCTTTTGTTTATTATGGGCTTTTCAAAGCAGAGAATATTGGTTTGCAGATACGAAAGTAAATGTACAAAGAGGGCCTATCTAATGGATTTCAATCCCTGGTTGCAGTTTTGCTTGAGGCTGGTTCAATTTGGGTTTGTATTTTGTAAAATAATCTCAAGAACCCCAAATAAAGTTCTCTCTTAAAAAAAACCCAAAAAACAAAAATAAACTAGCATGTGTACCTGGTATTACCACTGAAGATGTCAGACAAAATATTAAAAGAACTTACATTGGTTATTAAAGAAGCCTTGGGTAAAGAGAGATATAAAGGGTAGGGAAAGCCTGAAGGCGTAAAGAACATGCTCTCCCTCTAGCAGTATCTTACTGTTCTTCCATCAAGCGGGTGAACTTCTGTCGGGCCAGATCCATTAGCCCGTCTACCTCACTCTTCGAGCGTTTGAAGTTCTCAATGCTGAATGCATAGACTGTCACCTCCAGGATGCCCAGGTTCAAACACCAGCGCAGAGTCTGAGGAGGGGAGAAGGCAAGGAGCTAGTGCATAAAGAAAGAAAATGTGGGAAGGGACACAAGAGACGTTCTAATCTTGACTCGGAGGTAGGAGACATATTTCTTCCTTCTTCAAACTGTGAAAACCTAGGATAAGATCTGTGCTTATGTCTGATAATGAACCAAATCAGTAGAAAATCACCAATTAAGAAATAGAATGTGAGGGAGCTCTGGTGGCCTAATGGCAAGAAGCTGTACTGCAATCCCAGAGGTGTGTGGTTCAAATCCACCAGATGTTCTGCTGGAGAAGGAGGGACAATCTCCTCCCGTACCAGTCAAATCTGATTTGACAGTACATACACAAAAAATAATAATAAAATTTAAAAAAAATTTACTTTAATGAATAGTACTATGCTAATATCACTGTTGTTCTTTCATTTTATTTTAAATGCTTAAATTATGATTCAAGGGAGTTTACAAAACAAGTTGACTTTCAGCCATGCGTATATATTTTAACAATTACAATGTAATTAAATTTTTCCTACTTCCTCCCTATAATTCTCATTCTCACTAAACCTTCTATCCTACCCCTTCTTGCTCTCAGGGCTTTATCTTGGGACAAATATTCTTTTGACTATATAGGGTTGGTTATTACAAGGTATGAGTATCTCCTGTTAGTGGTGCCCTTTTAGATCTGCCTATTGTTTGACTGAAATTTGAACCACTGTTGTCATTTGTGTACTGCTGAGTCAGAACAAACCCTATGGCAGGTTTTCAGAGGCAGTTAATCACACAGGAGGAGACTGCACATCTCTCTCCCATGAAACACCTGGTGGCCTTGAACCAGGTGCCTTCAGGACTGCAGCTTAGCTTCTTTCCACCAGGCCACTAGAGATTCCCCAATAGGGTGAATTTTATTCCAGGTTCAAAGAGTATCTAAGGGCCATAATCTTGGGAATTTCACCAGTCTGATCAGTAAGTCTGGTCTTTTGTATGTTTTTGTAATTGGTTCCAAACTTCGTAGTTTTCATAGTCTTTTACTGTGATCCCCTTTACAATGATCAACCGTGAGAACCAAGCATCATCTTGATGTCACTATAGTTTACAAAGAAAAAAAGCTCTCCAACAAAGACTAACTGTGGTTCTAGTCCCTGGCTAAGGGGCAGTAGATAGATCATTTAACTTCTGCAGACCTTAGTCTTTTCATCTGTAAAACAGCATCATAACCCATCCCTCTTGAGACAGCCAAAGATCAGTACAAAAAACAAGATATTATTACTCACAGTATAACTTCACTATTCTTGTAGCGTGAGAAACTGATAATTTGCAATAAAAACAAGTGACCAGCTGTGCAACGTTTAGCAGTCTGCAAAAGGTTAGACATCATGCCTCTTGGTGATAATGATTACATTTATTCCCAATTGATTATTCAATTAACCACAGGCATTATTTTTTCCCCTTTATTTTTTTTAATTTTATATTGGTTTACATACAAAGTTCATAAAGTTTGTATACATTGTTTTTCACACAAGATCTTTCCTCTTTCCTTTATTCATCCTTCCCTCCACCCATCAAATTGTGTGATCCTATGATTAACACACACACACACCCCCCATTGGATCCTCCTACTCATTCTATAATAATGCTCTTCACAGGCATTATTGTACAAATGATAAAACTAAGGCTCACAGAGCTGACAACACTTATCAGAAGTTTATAATTCTACTGAGTGATTCCATCATATGAAGTTCCAGCACAGGAAAGATTAAACGATAGCATCTGAAATCAAGTAATGGTTTCAATCAGTACCTGGAGTGAGAAGCAAGTGGGAAAGAGTTGACCGGGAAAGGGCACAACGAACATCATATGGAAATGTTCTATACCTTGATGGGGCAAGTATAAAATCTTCAAAACTTAGGAACTTTAAAATTTTACTGTATGAAATAATACCTCAACTTAAAAAGGAAAACCTCGTGCTTAAAATCAGCTCCTGTGAGGCTGCTCTAACTCACTCACGCTGAGATGGGAAGCCTAGAGGTAAAAGGTAGAGGGTAGAATGCAGTGAAGTGCAGAAGTGAAGAAACAAATCTGAAGATATGCCTTTCTAATATAATCCTATAACAAACATACAAACAAACCCATCACCAGTTTAGGAAAATTGCCAGTGAGAATCTGACACGTGAATAGGTACAAGCCCTACAGATGCTGTAGGACAGTCATTTCAGATGACACAGCTGGGTCAGAATCTACGGTTGATCTTAGCCAAAAATAGCTGCCAATCATAATGGTTTCAGGTTTGGGGCACATCTTTTATGCTATGCCTGTACCACTCCCTTTATTTAATACTTAAATAATCTTCTAAAGTAGAGATTATCATTAATCTCATTTCATAGATGAAGAAATGGAGTCAGAGGGAAGTAAGGTAATTTGCTGCAAGTTCAAAAAGTGGCAGAGGAGTTCCTAAGCAGTAGACAAAACTATCCCTCATTCACTTCCTAAACAGAGGCTGGAATGAGCAAACCTGGAAGAAGGTGTGAGATACACTCATAGAGCCACCAGTCCTCCAGCATCAAACCAGATTCTTGTGCCAGGAAGCTAGGATTAATGGACTATATAAATGATATTTTCATTGTTATAAATACAGTTTAAGAAAGATTGACAAATTCCATTCTTATTGTTAAATTTTAATTTGTTGTTGTTATGTGCCGTCAAATCAGATCTGATTAAACTGGATCTGACTGGCACAGGAAAGGATTGCCTCCCTTCTCCAGTGAAACATCTGTTGTATTCAAACCAAATGCCTTCAGGATTGCAGCACAGCTTCTTACCACTAGGACACCAGAGCTCCCTTTCTTATTGTTAAATTTAATGTGTGCTAATTCATAATAAATATGCATTAAAGCCATAGAACACACAGGGCCTTTGTTTAGGGTAACCAATGTCCCAGTTTGCCTAACATTTTAATGCTGAGAAATTTGATTCCTGAGAAATCTCAGCTTAAACAAACCAAGATGGGAAGACACTGGGTATGTATTCCCAAAATCTCAATTCTAAGAATTCTAAAGCAGTACTACTACCTTAAAGAAATCAGAGCCATGACTTAGATGTACGTAGATCCATGTTTATTGCTACATTATTCACAACAGCAAAGAGAAAGAAACAACCCAAGTCCCCATAAACAAATGAATGGATAGAAAATCTATGGTACATTCACACAATGGAATATTATGCAGGAGTGAAAAATAATGACCTTATAAAACATTACACAATATGGGGAAGCCTGGAGAACATTGTGCTGAGTGAAATATCTCAGTCACAAAAGGACAAAAACTGCATAACACTGCTGTTATAAAACAGGATTGACATGGGAAAGCTTGGAGAGAGAATGGGAAAAGAGTGGGTAAATAATGAACACTGCATTAGAAAAGATGAGAGGAAGAACTGACTGAAAGGAATATATGATTAGGCATTATGTGTATGACAACAATCTGGAACAAGGGGTGCACTGCAGGATGGGCTAAGGAGGGCGAAAGGAAGGGGAGGAGAAAGCGTGCAACAGTGGAAAACAATAAATACCAAAAAAGATAAAAATTAAAATAAAACAGTACTACTTACAATATCTACCTGTAATGTCCAATAAAAATGGACCAGCTAAACAAATTATATCAGATTCATGTGATGAAATGGTCTAGTTATTAAAACACATAATTAACCCCAATAACAACTGCAAAGTTCAACAGGGGAGCAAACAACAAATGCTGGTGAGGTTGTAGAAAGATTAGAACTGCTAATCACTGCTGGCAGAAATGTAAAATGGCAAAACCAATATGCAAGGTGGTCTAGCAGTTTCTCAAAAATGTAAGAAATAGAAATAGCATTTGACCCAGCAATTCCATTATTGTGAATATATACAGAAGAAACCAGAGCTATGACTCAAACAGATGTATGCACACCATGTTTATTTGCTGTATTATTCACAATAGCAAAGAGACAGAAGCAACCCAAGTGCCCATAAACAAATGAATGGATAGAAAAATTATGGTAGGGGAGCTCTGGTGGCCTAGTGGCAAGGAGCTGCAACTACAATCCCAGAGGCGCACGGTTCGAATCCACCAGATGCTCTGACGGGGAAGGAGGGACAATCTCCTCCTGTACCAGTCAGATCTGATTTGACGGTACACTCACACAAAAAATAATAAAATAAAAATTTAAAAAAATTTAGAGAAAAAAAAAAGAAAAATTATGGTACATTCACACAATGGAATATTATGCAGCACTGAAAAACAGTGAACTTGTAACACATTACACAACATGGGGGAGCCTGGAGGACATTATGCTGAGTGAAATATCTCAGTTACAAAAGGACAAATAATGCATAAACTGTTGTTATAAAACAGGACTGACATGTGGGTGTGGGGAAAGAATAGGAAAAGAGTAGACAGATAATGAGCACTGCATTGGAACAGAGGAGGCAAAGAAGTATTTAAAAGGAAAGTATGATTAGGCATTATATGAATGACAACAATCTAAATAAGAGGTGCCTTGCAAAGTGGACTAGGGAGGGGAAAGAGAGGGAAAGGGAGGAAAATGTGCAACAATGAATGAATTAAAAAAACAAAAACAAACCCTGAACAAAGAGTAAGAAGGAAAAGGAGGGAAGAAAATGCACAATAATGAACAAATGAAGCCCCAACTTCTCTGTACACTTTCATTAAAATCACAATAAAAATTAAAAAGAAAAAACCCACAAACAATATTTAAGGCATCTACAACCACTGTCCATATGTGTAACAAAACCTGACCAGAGAGATTTTAGTGTGTATCTGGAGGGGTAAGTGCTTGACTTCTCTGATCTCAATTTCTCTCTCTTTGGCCAAGGGTCATATTTGCTTTATGAAGTTGTGAGAACTGAGAACATACATGAGGCACAATAGATGGCAGCACTCACTCTGTACATAGTTTTTTAATATACACACTCATAAAAAAACAAACAACACATAATTAAGGTTTTAAGTCAATCTAGAAAAATACTTGTCAAAATGAAAAGTCAAAATAAAGTTTTAAAAATTATAATGTAATTTTATAAATGTTAATTCATGTAAAACATACTACCAGGACTATGATGAGGCATAAGAAAAAAGTAAAAGCTTTAATTGGTGAGAAAAGATGCCAGTTTTATGCTTATTTCATTTCTATTACTTTGTCATGATTGACTGGGCAATTAATATTTTTGATAATGTTAATATTAATATGCCATCAATTGAGACCTTGTTTTTTACCAATTCTTTCAGAGCAGCCTGAATTTCTTTCTTCATCACCATAGGCTCTTGCTCATAAGCTGTTTCATGAAATTGTTCTGTAAGCCAGGGATGTGTCCTAGCTCCATACCTTTTCAATTTATATGCAGAATAGGTCATTCAGGAGGCTGGGCTTTATGAGGAGAAATGTGGCATCAAGATTGAGGAAGACTCATCAAAAATCTGAGGCAGATGACACAACCCTCCTTGCTGAAACTGAGGAGGACCTGAAGCACTTGCTGCAGAAGGTCAAGGACTGCAGCCTTAAATATGGATTGAAGTTCAACATCAAGAAAACAAAGATTCTCACCACTGGGCTGATTGGCAGCATCATGATAGATGATGAAGAGATTGTTAACAACTTCAGTTAGCTTGGCTCCACAATCAACACTCTTGGTATCAGCAGCCAGGAAATCAAAAGAGGAACTGCACTGGGAAATCTACAGTCAGAGATCTCACCAAAGTACTGAAGGGCAACGATGTCAGTCTGGAGACTAAGGTGCACCTAATCCAGGCCATGATCTTTGCAATTATTTGCTATGTGCCAGAAAACTGGACAATGACTAGGAATGATAAAAGGAGAATTAATGCCTTTGAGCTGTGATGCTGTAGATGAGTACTGAGTTCACTATGGTCTTCTAGGAGAACAAACAGGTTTGTCCTAAAGAAGGTAAAAACAGGCTGCTCCCTGGAGTCAAGGATTCTGAAACTTCACCTGACATACTTCAAACATGTCACAAGGAGGGACCAGTCCTTGGAGAGGGATGTCATGCTTGGAGGGTGGACGGATAGCACAAGAGAGGAAAACCCTCGAGGAGACAGGTTGATTCAGTGACTGGCGTAAAGGGGGTCAGTGTGTCAGAGACAATAAGATTAACAAAGGATAGATAGGGTACAGGGTTGTTGAACATAGGGTCGCTACCAGTCACCAGGGACTCAATGGCACATAAAGACAACAAAAACATTAATATTGGACTTAGAGCAATCAAGTGACAAAAACAATAGCTGTAAAAACACAACCATAACCTACAACCAGAAGAGAATAAAATAGATGAATGGGAACTTCTATGTACATCAAAAAACTTCTCCAAGAGGGTAAGAAGGAAACTTTCAGATTGGGAAAAATATTTTGCAATGACATATCTGATAAGGGACTCATATCTAAAATTTATAGAATACTCCAGCACCTCAACAAGATAAAAGTAAACAACCCAGTCCTAAAATGGGCACAGGATATGAATAGACACTTCACCAAAAAAAGACAATCAGATATCAAACATAGGAAGAAATGTTCAAAATCCCTCGTTATCAGAGAGGCACAAATAAAAACAACTACAGGATATTACCTTACCGCAGTAACAAGAGCTAAGTTCAACATGGCAGCAAACAAATGCTGGTGAGGTTGTAGAGAGATTACAACTCTTATTCACTGCTGGTGGAAACGTACAATGGTACAGCCACTATGGAAAGAAAGCACTGTGGCACTTTCTCAAAAAGTTGGAAATATTAAGGTGGGGGGGGGGAGTGAAGTATTTGACTCCACAATTCCACTACTGGAAATATACCCTAAAGAAACCAGAGGCACGACTCAAACAAATGTATGCACATTTATTGCTGCATTATTCAAAACAGCAAAGAGATGGTAGCAACCCAAGTATCTATCAGCAAATGAATGGGTAGAAAAAGTATGGTACAGTCACACAATGGAATATTACACAACATTTAAAAACAATGAACTTTTAAAACATTACACAAAATATGGGAGCCTAGAGGACATTATGCTGAGTGAAGTATCTTAGTCACAAATAATGCATAACACTGCTGTTATAAAATAACATGGAGGGGCTGGGGAGGGAAAAGGAAAACAGTGGATAGATAATGAACACTGCATTATATCAAAGGAGGGGAAGAATTGTCCAAAAGGAATGTATGATTAGGCATTAGATATATGACAACAATCTGGAATAAGGGTTGCATTGCAGGAGGGCTGGGGGAGGGAAAAAGAAGGGGAGGGAAGATATGTAACAATAGGAAAAAAATTAAAATATTTTTAATGTTAAAAAATAAACAAACAAAAACAACCACAGCAAACTCATGGGCTGGTTTTTTTACCTATAATCCAATTCTCCACTTTCAGATCTACCACACACACTCACCTCAGCCAGCTTGTTGAAGCCCTGTGAATGTCCCTCTTGTCGCTCTACCTGGCACTTCTTGGCATAGCGACGGTTCCCATCCATTATAAATGCAATGTGTTTGGGCATTGGGCCTGCCTGTGAGGTAAGAAGACAAATGACAAAAATATCACCTACTTTTCAGGGCTAAAAAGAGACACTATTCTTCAAGCTGGAAGTCGGCTTGAAGGATGTAATTTGTAGCAAGTTGTGCCCCGAACCCAAAGGTTAAGTGTCTCCAGAAATTCAAATCCATTAACAGATCCAGGAAAGAAAGATGGGCAGTTTCTTGTGATTGTAATTCACAGTCTCTAAAACACTATAAGTCAGAATCAACTAGATGACAGTGAGTTTGAGTTTTCTGCTTGATTCCCCAAGAAGCAAGAAGATAAGACTTGAGACATTTGTGAAAACTCTGAGGAAGATAATCAGTATTTTATGTTTTTCAGCTCAAGAAATGGCTACTGTTGTTGGGTACTGTTAAGTCAGCTCAAAAGATTATCAAGAATTTTTTGTTTACCTATATACTATGTTGTTGTTAGGTGCTGGTGCATACCACCCATAGTGACCCTATGAACAACCTGCACCATCCTCACCATCTCGGACATCCTAAAGCCCATTGGTGCTGTCACTGTGTCAGTCCACCTGGTTGACAGTCTTGCCACGCATGATGTCCCTCTCCAAGGAATAACCTCTCCTAGCAACATTTAGAGCTGGTGGTGGTTTGAGTCCACCCAGCAACACACAGGAGAAAGCCTCCCATAAGAATTTAGAAGCTCAGAAAGGCAATGGAAGGTAGTCATGAGTCAGATCTCATTACAATAATGTGTTTGTTTATTTAGATTTATAAGGAAGGCTTAACGGTCTGCTGCTCAACAAGGGGAGAACCATCATCAGGAGGCCCTAGGCTTCCTGCTCTGAAAATGTCCATTAAGATAATAATCTTCTAGAAAATAAGCCTGAAAGCTACTTTGCAAATTTAAGACTTTATAATTACCTTGCTAAACTGCTCTAAAGACACAGTCTGCAGATGGTGGTACTGAGTCAAAAATGGTGCCTCTCTAGCTGTTGGAATCCACCAGTTGTTCAATGAGAGAAAGATGGGCAGTCTTATCTCACATAAAGTGTGAAATCCCACTGGCGGGTCAGCTGTAAATCAGTTCCAACTCCAGAGCAATGAGATACGAGAGCTGCTAAACGGCATTCAATGTTATGGACTGTTCAACTTCAACAATAGATCATGAACCAAAACTACTCACTAACCACGAGGCTAGGTGGTCCCTTGGGCCACTGCTCACCTTTAAGATGTTGGCACAGAACCGCTCCCAAAGTGAGAACTCTCCTTCCTTGATCCATGACATCTTGCACTGTAAGATCTTTACAGAACAAGACAACCTTGAATTAAAAAAAAAAAAGGAGTAAGTCACTAAAGCTTATTCTCTAAGCAGCTACTTCCTTGCAATTTCAAAAGATTCATTCAGAGATTCGGCTAAGATGTATGGAACAACTAGCATTAGACTTCAAAGCATTGCTTTAAGTCCAAACACCCTACTTTAAATCTCTCACCACCCAGCGTTGTGGAAGTCAGTGGAATCTTTAGGTCAGAAGGCTTGACGTAGTTCTCTGACTTACAAACATCTAAGTTTGCTTCTTTCCTTCACAGTCTACTTTTTATATCCTGATCACTCCCTGTCTCATCCATCTTTCTCCCCCTTCAAGTCGTTCCTCGCTCTGGATTTCCAGTTAACTAGCCCCTTCAGTTGTCGCACCCTGTTAACCTTCTACCTCAGCGTTCTCTACTATAATCTACTCCCAAATCTGTCTCTTCCACTGTGCCTGTTATTTCTCTCATAGCTGCGTCCCCACTCAGTCACCTCGCTGCTCGATCACCCCTGCAACTCGGCACCTAAGCAGCTCCCTTCCGAGCCAGCCAACAGCTCCGGCCTGCCTACGCTTCCTCACGGCTTAACACTCAGTTACTACGTCATCATTAGGCGCAGAGACACGTCCCTACAAAAGCAGATTCCCGGTTCTAGTTGTGCGCATGCGCGCCGGGGAGTGTGTGCGTGTATTTAAGTATCGGTGATTAGCACACTTAGGGAGCAGAGATATTTGTGAGAAATCGTAATACTGTGCGAGAGACAGTGCCGGTTTGCAAGAGCCTAGGTCACGTGCTTAGAGCAAGGCTGGCGAAGAGCGGAGTGGGCAGTGAACTAACTAGTTAGGCTGCAGGCCGAGTTAAAGCCACTGCCATAGAGTCAGTATTGCCTCGTGGCGACCCGCATCGGGTCCTGGGGAGCGAGAGTTAGAAACTTCTCCATCCAAGACCAGGTGGATTCTATCTGCCAACCTTACATTGTTGTTATGTAACTTCGAGTCGGAACTGTCCTTCGGTTGGGTTTTCAGAAGCCGTTAAATCTTTTTTCCTCCGAGCACCTGGTCGATTTGAACCGGTGCATTTGGCTTGGCGGAGCAATCCTTTACTATTGGTCCACCAGAGCTCATCAGGTTTGTGTTGTTAATGTGCCATCGAGTGTCCACCACAATTCATAACGACCCTATGAACAGCTCTGAACCTTGCCCTATCTTGAGCCAATCCTACCATCTCTGACACATCTCCCCCCTCCCCCCCCAGTTACTGTGTCAATCCATCTCATCTGAGTCTTCTCTCCTGTGCTGACCTTCCGTCCTTCCAAGTATGATGTTCTCCAAGGACTGACCCCTCCTGGTAACATGCTCAAACTGCTTAAAAATCCTTGCCTCAAAGGAGCAACCTGGTTTCACCCTCTCCAGGACAGACTTGCTTATTTTCTTGGCAGTCAGTGGTATATTCTGTACTCTTCTTCAATACCACGACTGAAAGGCATTTATTCTTCTACCATCCTTAGACACTATCCAGCTCTCAGATTCATAGCAAGTAATTGAGAAGACCATGGCTTAAACCAGACAAACCTTAGTCTTTAGATTGATATCATTGCTCTTTAGCATCTGGAGAGGCCCCTGACAGTAGACTTTCCCAAAGCAACTCATCTTTTGATTTCCTGACTGCTGGTTCCAAAAGTGTTGATTGTGGACCTAAACAAGATGAAATTGTCAGCAACCTCAACCTCTTATCTATATAATGTTGCCAATTGGCCCAGTGGTGAAAATCTTTATTTTCTAGATGTTGAGATGCAATCCATATTGAAAACTGCAATCCTTGACCTTCTGAAGCAAATGCTTCAAGTCTTTCCTAGTTTCGGTGAGCAAGGTTGTGTTGATTGCATAATACAAGTCGTTGATGAGCCTTCTTCCAATTCTGATGCCACATTCTTCTTCAAAGAGTTCAGTCTCTTGAATTATCTGTTTCACATATAGACTGAAAGTTATTTAAGCTCTGGTTTATAGGCTGTAAGTATTAGAGGCAGGGGGAGCTCTGGTGGCCTAGTGGCAAGACGCTGCACTGCAATCCCAGAGGTGCGCGGTTCAAATCCACCAGATGCTCTGCTGGAAAAGGAGGGGGCGATCTCCTCCTATACCAGTCAGATCTGATTTGACGGTACACATAAAAGTAATACAATAAAAAAAAAAAATTTTTAGAGGAAGGAAATTGCCCATCTTTCTCCTGTAAAGATGCTGGTAGATTCTAACTTGTGGCCTATAGAACAACAGCTCAACAAGCTACTGACACTAGAGTCACTTAGTGAGGATTTTGTTCCTTAGAGAGGATGGACTATGTGGTTAAGAATCATTACCAACTTACTGCTGACCCTTTGGTGAGTCTTCTGAGGCTGTAAATCACATGGGAAGAGATTGCCCATCTTTTTCCATGGAGCATCTGGTGGATTTGAACTGCCTGCCTTTGGCTGGACACTAAACTCTTTACTCATTTTTGTTAATTGCCATTGAGTTGAGTATAATTTACAGTGTCCATATAAACAATAGATCTGACCCCTATCCTATTTCATGCCATCTGTACAATCTCTTGACACACTCAAGTCCATTGGTGTAGTCACTGTATCAACCCGTCTGGTTGGGGAGAGTCTTCCTGTCTTTCACCACCCCTATACCTTCTGAAGCATGATATCTCTCTCAAAGGAGTAACCTCGCCTATCAACATGCCCAAGTATGTAAGATGAAGTTTCATCAATTGTCTTTGCATCCAAGGAGCACTCTGGCTGAAACTTCTCCAAGACGTATGTTTGTTCTTTTGGCAGTCCATGAGATATTTAGTACTCTTCTCCAGTGCCACAGTTGAAAAGCATCAGTTCTTTTTCTGTCCTCCTTATTCCTTGTCTAGCTCTTAATGAATAGCAATTGAATGAAAAAACAATGGTCTGAATCAGGTGTGCCTTAGTCCTCAAACTAACATCATTACTCCTCAATAATTTGGAGAGAACCTGACTATAGATCCCCCCCATCCAATATTTTATCTAATCTCCTGACTGCTAGTACCAAATGTATTGATTGTGGATCCAAGTAAGATGAAGTTGTTGACAGTTTCAATCTTTTTTGCATCTATCATTATGTGTCTACTGGGGAGGGTTGTTTTTTTTCCCCCTTGACATTAATATGCAATCCATATTGAAGGCTGCAGTGTTTAACCTTCTGCGGCAAGTGCTTCAAGTCTTCTGACTTTCAGCAAGTAAGGTTGTATCATCTGTATAACAAAGGTTATTGTTGAGTCTCCCTCCAATCCTCACGCCACATTTTTCTTCATAGAGTCCAGCTTCTCGAATAATTTGCTCAGCATAGAGACTGAATAGGTATGGAGAAAGAACACAGCTCTGATGCACACCTTTCCTAATTTTAAAACATGAAGTGTTCCCTTGCTCTCCCCTTGTTCGCACAATAGCCTCTTGGTCACATGAGCACAATTAAGTGTTCAGGAATTCCCATTCTTCTCATTCTTCTCATTCTTTACCCAGTAGGCTACTAGAACTCAGCTCTAGAGATGAGTAACTTACTCACCTACGAGTCATCTTAAATGTTTCCATTCTTAGCGCTTTTCATTCTATGGAGCAGCTGGTGGATTCAAACCATGTGCCTTTGGGTTGGAACACATCTCCTTGCCTACTAGGCCATGAGAACTCCCTTTAAGGAGTGGTTTAGTACCAACGGGCTTGAAACCAGCTCATAGCTGACGCTGACCTTCTAGCAGGTTTTCAAGGGCAGTAAATCACACAGAAAGAGTTTGGCTATCTTTCTCCTGCAGAGACTCTAGTGTGTTTGAACCATTTGCCTGTGGGTGGCAGTGAAGTGCCTTATTACTATGCCACCAGAACTCCCTTTAGGGAGGTTGTTTGTTGTTGCTAGGTTCCATGGAGTCAAGGACAATTCATAGTACCCCTATAAATAACAGATGTGAACCCTGTTCTATCCTGTGCCATCCTCATTATATCTGACACAATTGAACCCATTGCTGTAGTCACTGTGTCAGTCCATCTCATAGAGGGTCTTTCTCTCTTTCATTGACCTTCCACCTTTCCAAACATGATGTCCCTCTTCAAGAAATAGCCTCTCCTAGCAACATGCCCAAAGTATGTGAGACAAAACTTTGTCATCCTTGCTTCCTACACTTTCCCCAAGACATCTCTGTTTGTTCTTTTGGCAGTCCATGGTATATTCAGCACTATTCTCTAAGACTACAATTGAAAGGCATCAGTTCTTCTGTTATCCTTATTCATTTTCCAGCTATCAGATTAGATGCACAGCAAGTGATTGAAAAGCCTATGGCCTGAATCAGGCATACCTTAGTCTTCAAACTGAGAGCATGGATTCCTCCTTCAGAAGTAGAAGTTTCTATAAAAGAAAAGATGTAACTATAGGACTACTGAGAAAGTTGGAAAAATTGGGTGTCTTTTAGATATCTAATATGGGAAGCCAAATTTTATACCAAATATTATATGAAAATCCTTGTTCAGGAATTGAAGGAATTGCAGACTTATAAGTTAGGATTTCTCTTGTGGCAGATCCCAGAAAAGAACCTGTTTGTTCCCTGCAGACAGCAGACAGCTAGGGGCCGGCCCCCTACAGAGTGTTACTTCCTGGGAAATACTTCCTGAGCTAGAGCATTAGGCTGACAATAGAGAAAAATAGAGCCTTCATTTACAAGGAATTCCTTTTGTTATTTGCTTCCCCAGATTATCAATAAATACACAGAGAAACATGACTTGGGGTCTTCAGTTGAGAACTGCTGGCCCCCTGTTTTATGCTCTCTGCTCTATCTCATTCCTGGCTGTTTGTCTCATTATTAATAATTGTATAATTATTCCATTCTTTGGGACCCTCGGTCTGCAACAATCTAGCATGTTGTTGTTAGGTGCATCATGACCCAATCAACAATCTTGACCTTTCCTGAGCACCCTCATGATCTGACATACTTCTGTCTTAAAACACCACAATTTTAC